CCCAGTCCGGTGCCCACCCCAGTCCGGTGCCCACCCCGGCCCGCTCCCCACCCAGTCCGGTGTCCACCCAGCCTGCTGCGTCTTTGTTCATGCTTGTCAGGCTGCGGGACATCCTCTGCTGTGTCTTCCCTCCAGTTCTCTCTCTGTCTTTTGCTCTCCTTGTCCATCCTTGGTCTGTTCCTGCATCTGACTCTCTGTCTCTGTCTCCCTCTTTGTTTCCATCTCTCTTGCTCTGCCTCTGTCCCTTTATGGGTTCCTGGGACTCAGTTTTCTGTTTCAAAAAAAGCCAGCATTACAGGCTGTTGAAGGACACAGGCTTTGGAATCCAGTGGTGACATTTACTGGCCGCGTGGCCTTGGGCCGTGGTGCCCACCTCCACGAAATGGGGCCAGTGTGAGCTTTGAAGGGTGTGGTGGGACTTGAACAAGACAGCCCGGTTCCTGCTTCTCACACGGGGGCTGTGCGTGCTTTCAGGGAACAGAACTTCTGCCAGGGAGGCTGGTGCCCGGGAAGCCACAGGCTTGCCTTCCCGGAGAGGGACTCGAACTCCACGATTTGGAGGAAGTTACCTTAGCCTTACAATAGAGAAAACAGATTTACTCTAGACTGGAATGGAAAACATACATTTGTTATTTATTCTAAAAACCGACCGAGTATCTGTGAAGGTGTTTTGAGCAGGAAGAGGGAAGTTTGGGGTCTACTCCAGACCTACCAGGAGTGCCCCAGTGTGGTGTGGGCCCCTGGGCAAGGACAGCAGCAGGAGCTCTATAAACGCTGGTTTCCTCTGGGCCTTTCTCCCCCTCCTTCCTCTCCCTCTGTCTCCATCTCTGCTTCTCTCCCCCTCTTCCTGTGAGCAGAGCCCAGGGACCAGGCTGGGCAACACCAGCCTGGACTGTCTCCCCCCACCCCACCCTACCCCCCGAGCTACCGCAGGGTCTCAGCCCCCAGCCCATCCCCCCAGGGCCCCTCCCCACCTGTCACCTTGGAAGCAGGGGTCTCTGCTAAGTGTGTTGCGCATTCCCTGCGTGGGCCTTTGGCGTGAGGCCCCATGGCGCGCCACCCCCCTCCCGTGGTGGTGCCTCCCCACCCAGCACGTTCACATGGTGCGGCAGGGCGGGGAAGGGGGATGGCCGGGAAATGCTGGGGACCCAGAGGAAGGAGGTGGGGAGAAAGTAGGGGGGCGGCGGGGACCCTGCCCCTGCTCCTCCCCTGCCAACGGCTGGCTGACGCCCTGGTGCGGTTGCAGACCCTGAGGAAGAAGGGCTTCAACGGCTGTGACAGCCCGGAGCCCGACGGGGAGGACTCGCTGGAGCAGAGCCCCCTGCTGGAGGACAAGTACCGGCGCGCCAGCGAGGAGCTGGACGGGCTCTTCCGGCGCTACGGGGTGAGCTCACTCACCGTGTCTCTGTCGGCCCCTCCCGGCCCCCCCCCCAGGCGCTGCACAAGAAGCACAGGGAGTGTGAGAGCCCCGAGGTGGACGAGGTGTTTGCCCTGACCCCCCAGACGGAGGAGAAGTATAAAAAGATAGACGAGGAGTTTGATAAAATGATGCAGAGTTATAGACTGGCCGTGAGTAGTCGCATGGAGCGGTCTCCCCGTGGTGCATGGTGTGGCTTCGCGCCGGCCCCCGGCCGCCCCTGACGCACGTCCCGCGCTGAGCCGTGCCGGGGCTGGCGGTGACCACTGAGGCACCGCTGACCTGGGTTGTGGACTCCTTTCGGATGGAGCACGGGCCGGGAGAGGCCTGGAGCGCCCCTCTCGCCAGCAAGGCGTGTGTAGATGACGTGAGGGCTTTAGATGGCAGGAGAGTAGGGGCTGTGTTCTTTGTCCAGGTCTTCTCAGGGCAGAGTCCCTGGGGGCCTACGCAGCCACCCCCGGCCCGAGACCCTCGGTGCAGGCCTTCCCTAGCTGTGTGGGTGCACGTGGGTCTGTATTCAGGCCCTCTAACCTGCTCCCCGTGTGTCCTGCCTGGCTGAGGACTAACCCACCTCCACTGGGGGCCTCGGGGGTCCCTGGTCCCATCTGCCATGAGCAGAGCCTGTTCTCGTTCTCTGGGCCAGAGCTTGATCCCAAAGCATTCCCTCCAGCAAACTTCCTCTGAGAGGGCCCGGGGCAGAGAGCTCGAGCTGCGGGCCCTCAGACACACAGCCCAGAGACCACAGGAACCCGTGCCTGCCCTCTCTTGGGCACAGTGGGTCTGGGGTGGGGGCGTCGCCTGGCCTGACCCCGCCTCGCCATCCTCTGTCTAGTCAGCGGTGCCGGCCCCCAACTTTGCCATGCCCGTCACGGTGCCCGTGTCCAGTCAGAGCTCACTGCAGTTCAGCAATCCCAGCGGCTCTCTGGTCACCCCTTCCCTGGTGACATCATCCCTCACGGACCCGCGGCTCCTGTCCCCCCAGCAGCCAGCACTGCAGAGGAACAGCGTGTCTCCGGGCCTGCCCCAGCGGCCGGCCAGCGCAGGTGAGGTGGGGATGAGGTGTGCTGGGGACTTGGGGGATTCCGTCTCCCTTCGCCCCGCGCGGCTTGTGCCGCTCGCTTGTGTGGCTCCTGAGGGAAGGACCAGGGCTCCTCCCGCTGTTCGGTCCGGGGACCCGCCGTGGAAGGCGCTGTCCCACCAGCTAACCGTGGTTCTGTTTGTCCCCAGGGGCCATGCTGGGGGGAGACCTCAACAGTGCTAATGGAGCCTGCCCCAGCCCTGTCGGTGAGTGTGGCTGCCCGCCTGCCTTCTCAGCGGCCTCGCGGGCCCAGGGACCAAGAGGGACCCCGATGAGACGGGAGGAAGGTCCCAGGACCCGAGTCGAGCCTGAGGCTTGTCTGCAGCCCTGATGGGTGTGGGCGATCATCAGAGATCTGGGCTCAGGGAGTCCTGGGCAAGCTGGAAGAAGGGACCAACATTTCCAGCTGGGGGAGAGGATGCAAGTGTTCCCCATCGAGTGGGGGCATCTGGGTGGGATCTGGAGGGTGTGCACGGTGTTACTGACGCGCTCCCCTACAGACCCCCAGCTGCCAACGGCCTCTCCCCTGCCCTGTGCTGTTGTCCGGCCGGTGACTGTGACTTCAAATGTCACCATTGACGTCACGCTGACATTCCTGCCATTCCCGGAGTGATCTGGGAATTGGGATGAGGGCAGCCCCACACTTCCAGGGGAACAGTGTGCTCCCAGGGGACAGAGCAAGGTGACACTTGGGACTGTGGTCAGCCCCACTTCTCTGGGCTTCAGAACCCCCAGTTTAGCCCCAGGCACCACCTAATGTCTCCGTGGCAGTGATTGTGCACTGGGGTCAGGAAGTGGAAGGGATGGTGGCCGCCCTTTCCTCTCCGCGGAGGGCTGGAGAAGTACCTGCAGACTTTGGGCCATGACGGTCCTTCCAGGCGCTCAGGCCCAGCATGCGGAGCGCGGGTGGGGCCTGGCATGGCTTCTAGGCAGCTGCGTCGCCCTGGACAAGTCATTGTGCCTCTGCCAACCAGGCCTCGAGTTTGCGGTTTTGTGACCGGGGCTGACCCACGTCTCGTCTGCCTCGCCACACAGTCAGCGTGAGGGTTGAGTGAGATTGTACCCTGTGTGGATTATGGCGCAAATGCGCAAGGTCGTTACAACACTGGTCGTCGCCAGTCTCATTCTGGTGGTGGCTGTGTTATCAGTCCCCTGTGACCAATGACAGCACCACCACCGGCGGATGGCTCGTCTTCCCCAGAGCCACGGGCATCCTGTCATGGGCCCCCGTCTCTTGGCCAAAGCTGCACTCTGAGTGGTCGAGGTGCCTCGGGGGCCCTCATGGAGGCCCACGTCCCAGGCTGCCTTCCCCATCTGCAGCCAGGTCCCTGTGAGCGGTCGGGGCAGGTTGTGGGATTGGGAGGTGCTGGACGCCCTGTCTGTGAGACCGGAAGAAGGAAGGGGGTGAGGCGAGGCCATTGTGGCATCCAGCTCCAGTGCTCCCCGCCCCCACCCCGGCACACGTCGCTTAGAGGCAGGGGAATAACCAGTAATTCCGGAGTGAGGGGGCCTCCCTTTTCTCCCAGGACAGGGTGGTTTTGGGGGAAGATCAGAGTCTGAGTATGGAGTCCTGGCACACGGGCTGGCGGCTGGGTCCGTGTCTGACCTTTGACCCCCATCTCCTCCTCTCAGGAAATGGCTACGTCAGTGCCCGGGCTTCCCCTGGTCTCCTCCCTGTGACCAACGGCAACAGTCTCAACAAGGGCATCCCTGCCAAGTCTCCGCCCCCGCCCACCCACAGCGCCCAGCTTGGAGCCCCCAGCCGCAAGCCCGACCTGAGGGTCATCACTTCCCAGGGAGGAAAGGGGTTGATGCATCACTTGGTGAGTGGGTGTCTGCACCGAGGGGCAGGGGCTGGGGCTGGGGAAGAGCCAACCTCCAGCAGGAGAGATGCAGGCTAGCCAATAGGTGGGACTGCCGGAGGGAGACCGTAGAAGCCGGACTTCTCGTGAGCTCTTTCCCCCCAGAGGGCCTTATGAGAGGTTGGAACGTGGATGTGCCACCCACAAGGGCAGGAGGAAGCGACAGGAGGTGGGAGAGAAGGTTCTGTGCCGGGGAGGAGGTTGGGAGGGATTTGCCACCACAGCGGAAGGATGAAGGTTTCCTAACGGGTGGGTGTTGGGATGTGGCATTTTCTGGAGTCGGTCTGGACAGCAAAGAGCTCTGTCCCAGGCTGGACAGCTGTCCTGCTCATGTGTGAAGAGGCAGGTGGGGCGGGTGTTGGGGCCGGGGTGTGAGGGGAGGCAGAGGCCGCAGACTGAACCGCCCCCTTGGTTTTATTTCCGCTCCCAGACTGAGGACCATTTGGATCTGGTAAGTGAGACCCTGAGGTGTGCGGTGGCCTGAAAGCCGGGGTCCGCCCGCGGCTCTGTGCCACAGCGTGGAGCGCGCCGTGCCCCTCCACCAGCGGGTGTGCTGTGTGTTGTTTGCTTATTGGCCAGGAGCCGTGCTCCGTGCCGGACAGGGTGCAGAGGTGAATGGGGCGGGGGTCAGGGGTTAGATATGCCCGCGTGTACCTGTGTGTACGTGGATGTCTTTATGTGATGTTGTGTTCATGCAGACACCCCTTTCTCTGTGTGTGTGTGTGTGTGTGTGTGTGTGCGCGCGCACGCACGTGCATGCCGCGGGGGACAACCCCAGGCCTCAGGGGGCCCGTCTGGGTGTGCCCCAGGATGCCTGCGTTAGGGGGGCTGGACCGGACTGACCCTCTGGCTCAGTCCCACTGAGCATGCTTGGAACCCAGGGCAGGGGCCTCCTTAGGAGGAGAGCCAGCCAGACCGGGACAGCATGGTCCCCCGGGGCAGCTGAGGCCCAAGGAGAGGCCCGAGCTGCCCGTGGCAGGGGCTCACCGCCTCCTCTCTGCCTCCCCGTGTGCTCAGCCCTGCACAGCCTGCCTCACATGCGCTCAGGCACATGCCGCTGCGCACGCGCCGTCACACTCGCGTACTCACCCTCAGCCAGGAGTGGGGCGGGGGCTCCTCCCTCCCCAGCTCCCTGACGGGCGGCCAGAGAGACTGGAAAAGGCAGGCGGGCTTTGGCGGCCAACACGGCGGCAGTTTCGGCCCTAGTGCAGAGCTGGAATAAACAAGTGACTCAGCGGCAGATGGAGCTGACAGCCCCACACACGTGTGTGCACACACGCAGGCACACGCCACACCGGGCCCCGCGCTCCCCGCGCGCATGCCGGCGTGCTCGGGCAGGGCGTGCGCTGCCCCAGGACGGGTGGGGAAGGCACTGGACCTGCTCTCACTCGGCCCCGGGGCCGGCATGCCGACCTCCATGCACGTGTGCACGCCCCCCTCCCCGGATCTCAGCCTCTCTGGGAATGCGCCAGCGCTCGTGTGTGCGGGCGCCTCTGTGCCCAGCGTCCCCCCGGGGCCGTGGGGAGCAGGGGCCCCACCTGGGCCTTGCAGTGGAGGGCCAGGGGAACGCGGCCCACCCTCCTGCCGCCTGGTGACAGACCCTTTCCTCCTGCAGAACAATGCCCAGCGCCTTGGGGCCTCCCAGTCTACCCACTCACTCACCACGCCAGTGGTTTCCGTGGCAACACCGAGTTTACTCAGCCAGGGCCTCCCCTTCTCCTCCATGCCCACTGCCTACAACACAGGTGAGTCCTCAAGCCCCTCAGCCCCCCTGTAGCTGCTTGGCCTTGGGGCGGGGGCGGGACCAGATGGGGAGCAGGAGATAGTCCTGGGTGATGCTCCAGTGGATTGGGGGGAGCCCCCTCCTGATGAAGGTCGCCAGCAAATAGAAACAGGATGCCCACTGAAATTTGAATTTCAAATAAAACAATGAATAATTTTTTAGGGTAAATATGCGTCAAAGACATTTGCTGAAATGTTAAAAAATTATTCATTGTTTTGTCTGAAATGCAAATTAATAAGTAGGTATTCCCCATTTTTAATAAAGGACCTAATGGAGAAAGGAGCCCCCGCCCTTAGGGGCTGAGGAGGAGCCCGGCCAGAGGTGGGCTGAGCAGATGGTTCCGGCAGCCCAGGGCTGGGGAGAGGGGAGGGGCGTGGTCGGTGCAGCAAGGCTTCCTGGGGGAGGAGGAAGAGGAGACACAGGTGGAGGAGGCCCGAGAGAGAAGGCCTGTCAGGAAGGTTTACCCAGCCTGCCGGGAAAGCCGAGAGGGGCAGGGCGAGGAGGGAGGACAGGGCCCCTCACCCTGGTGGTGGCTCCATGGTGGGGTGGTGGGGAGGGGAGAGGAGTGAGAGGACCGGTGAAGGTCGGGGGTGGGAGGGAAGGCGGAGAGCTGCTCAGACACACGGGAGAGGTGTCTGGGTCGAAGAATTCAGACCGGACACCCAGGACCCAGGCCGTCCTGGGTACCCACTGTCCCCTCCCAGGACCAGTCGGTGACGCTGTGGGCCATCTTGGCCTGCACTCCGCACTGTCGTGTCAGGAAGGACTTCCCCGTGGGGAAATCTCACTGCCGAGACCTCAGCCATCCCTCACGGTCCCTCACCCCTGACTGGCCTGTGCTGGGGCTGTTTGTGATGAGATCAGACTAGATCAAAAGGCCCCTAAACTTCTCCCTCCTCCCCAAGCCCCCATGCCAGACACCGTACAGATCCTCTCACGCTCCGACCTCTTCCCTGGGTAAAAACCTGGAGCCCAGGCTCGGACACGGGGAAGCCCTGGGGGCAGGAAAGAGCTGGAGCCGCCCCGCTGTGGAGAGGGGCCAGACCCCGCCGTGCATGTCTGCATCCAGGTCTTCCCACCCAGGTGTGGTGTGGTCAGTCCCTCGTCCCGCTCATGCATGGGGTCCTCGGGCCACCTCAGATGGCCGTGCCCCTGGGGGCCAGTGTCCTCCTCTGGGAGAGTCGTGGGCGGGCGGGGAGTTTGGCAGAGGGCAGCACAGACCACTGTTCAGGAGCCGCCGTGTTTGGGAATCCCAAAATGCGGCGGTGGTTTCCTGCCATCCTCTCTGGCCCTTGCAAGTCTCTTGAAGCAGGAGGGGAGGTTGGCGGGCGTCCGTGAAGCTGGGACAGGCGCCTGGCAAGGCCAGACTTTAGACTGTTTGTCAGTCTGGTGTGAAAGCAGGTTCTGACCCTGGGCCTGCCCTTGGGGCCCTGCTGGGAAGTGTGGGCTTCCTCACATCCTCCCAGGAGCCAGGGCTCCGGTTCCTCCTGCTGCCGCAGTCGGTCAGCAGGCCTCAGTTTCGACAGCGGGTGTGTTCAGGTGCCCCTACGTACATAAACAAAAACACACTGCTGTTTCACTGTTCTCCGCTCATAGTCCTTGGCCCCAGTCCAAGTTCTGGCTGCGGGCGATCTGGCTCTGGTGACGTCCTGGGTAAGGGCCAGGCCTGGCCCCTTGCTGACACTGGCTGCAGAGGTCTGGTGGCTGTGGATGGGCTGCGAGGTGGCCTGTGGGCCATGTTCCTCCTGTCCAGGAGGCCCCGGGCCTCCGCATAGACGGGGCTGGAGTGTGGTGGCAACGTGCGGGAGCCCCTGCCTCTCGGGTGTGGAGGGGTGGCGGGCGAGGTTGAACGCTGTTCGAGGGTGGGCATCCTTGTCTGTAAAATGAGTCCGAGGGGCTCCTTCCTGCCCTCGCTCTGCTTTTTTTAAGAATGGCTCAAAGCTGCTGGCTAGTGTTGTGAGACCAGAGGCAAGCAGGGACCATCTCTAGGCCAGACTTACGGGTAAGCGAGGAGCCCAGGGTCTTGCCTTAGCTCCTCCACTGGCTCTGGGACCCGGGGCTCCCCACGCTGGAGGCTGCGGTTGCCTCGTTTGTGAATTAGTAACAGCACCAGGCCAGCCTTCGGAAAACGTCCTGTGTGCCAGACGCGGTTGTGCGTGCCCCGTGTGCGTTCACTGCTCCGTGGTCCTCACGGCTGTGTGGTACAGGCGGGACTCCTCTGCCTCTGCCCACTGCTAAGTCGAGAGCAAGTCCCTTGCCCCAGGTCACGGGGCCTCGGGAGGCCTCGCCCTTGCCCTGCACCTTCCTGCTCGGTTGCGCGGCAGTGCCGTCGTCCCTGCAGAGACGGGAGCTGCAGCCCGGGATCCCTTGAGTGAGCTCGGTGGTGGGACCACGCGGGGTGTGCCCGTGCGCCCCCACAGCACCATCGCCCTGGGCTCCTCGGGGGACCTTTACTAAGCTGCCCCAGACTGGCTGCAGCCTGGAGCGCCCCAGCGTGCTGTTGGTTGTGCGAACATCAGCTTCTTCATTAAGACAGGAGTGGTCAAAAGCAAGGAGCACCGCCTCATGGGGAATGTGATGGAATCCTGGCCTGGTGCGCTGGGCCCCACGAGGCTCTGCAGGCCCAGCAGGGGCACGTGCGCGTCCGTCCGCTGGGTTGGTGTGCGGCCACGGCGGCTTGAACCCTTGCCGCGCTGACAGTCTCGAGATGAGCTGCGGGGCCGCAGCCGCGGGGGGCAGGGTGGTGATGGCAGTTAGCTTCCGTGCGCCATCCCTCTCGCGTCCCCATGACGCCCCTGTCTCAGAAAGGCACGTGAGGACCTGGCAGTGGAAGAGATGACAGACGTGTATTAGACCCTCCTGACTTCTTTCCCCTTCTTTTTTGAGTTGACATTCTGAAAGCGATACCTACACGTGGTACCGAAAAAAAAAAGTTAACACTATTTTAAAAACACACCTCTCTTCATTCTGCTAAGAAGCGGCACTTGCCGCCTGTGTCGACGTGCATTCCCTTAGCGGGGGGCCCTGTGCTGGGGGGCCCTGCTGAGTCCTCCCGTCCTCTCACCCCCCCACCCCTGCAGATTACCAGCTGAGCAGTGCCGAGCTCTCCTCCCTCCCAACCTTCAGCTCGCCCGGGGGGCTGTCGCTAGGCAGTGTCACCGCCTGGCCTCAGCCCGCGCAGCCGCCCCAGCCCCAGCCGCCCCAGCCGCCCCAGCCGCCCCAGCCGCCGCCCCAGCCGCCCCAGCCGCCCCAGCAGCCGCCCCAGCCGCAGCCCCATCTGGTCCCCGTGTCTCTCAGCAGCCTGATGTGAGTCCTGGGGCGCCGCGGGGGGTGGGGGGCGCGCGGGGCGCCGGAGGCTCGGGGACGGCAGAGCTGGGGGTGGGAAGAGGGGGCTCCTGTTGGGAGGGAGCGGGGTGGCCCCCTCGAGGTGCTCTGTTACCAGCGGACAGCACGGGACCTGGGACACTACAGTGGCCTGGGAGACCCCCCCCCCCGGAGCCCCTCCCCAGCCAGCCTGGAGCACCAGGATGCCGTGGGAGACATGGGGACAGAAAACTAACGTGGCTCCTTCCCTCTCCTCTCTTCCTCACTTGGTCCCTCTTCTCCCGGCTCCTGTCTGTCCCTGCCCCTCCCCGCCCCACCTCCTCCCTCTCCCTCCCGGGCCCCTCATCCCTTCTGTGTGTCGCACCTCCTCCGCTTCTGTCCCGGTGCCCAGCCCGGGCAGCCCTCTGCCCCACGTGGGGGCCGCCCTCACAGTCACCACCCACCCCCACATCAGCATCAAGTCGGAGCCGGTGTCCCCTAGCCGCGAGCGCAGCCCCGCGCCGCCCCCTCCAGCTGTGTTCCCGGCGGCCGCCCGCCCGGAGCCTGGCGACGGCCTCAGCAGCCCGGCCAGCAGCTCCTACGAGACCGGGGACCGGGACGACGGACGGGGGGACTTCGGGCCCACGCTGGGCCTGCTGCGCCCAGCCCAGGAGCCCGAGGCTGAGGGCCCCGCTGTGAAGAGGATGCGGCTCGACACCTGGGTACTGTAGCGTCACCCCTCCCGCCCGCCAGTGTGTGCTGCACCCCGGGGCCGCCCCCACCCTGAGCCCCCACCCGGGAGGCCTCTGGGCCACCTCTGCAACCCCCCGCCGCAGGCCCCGGCCCTGCGGGGAGAGGGGCGTGAGGGACGCCCAGCCCGTGGCCCGGGCCCTGACACCCCGCTCTCCATCTCCTCTCTCTGCAGACATTAAAGTGACGATTCCCAGCCCCCTCCTCAGCCTCCCTGACGAAGAGTTGACAATCTCACCGCCCACCCCTCCCGGCCCTGGGCTCCTCCCGCTCGACCCCCACTTCCTTTTGTGCTCCGTGTCCTGTTGACGGTTACATTTGTGTATAATTATTATATTATTATTATTATTATTATTATATTTTTTTTAATTTGGATTCTCGCTTTGGAGAGGAGGATGCTCCTGTCCCCTCTTTCTGCACCGCCCCCCGCCATTTTACTGGCGGGGGGGGGCTGTTTTTTGCGGGAAGGGGGGACACTTTGCACGTTGTACACATATGCTGCAGGAGGGGGTGGGGAGCCCGATAGGCCTTTGGGACAGGACAGGTGCCGAGCCCTGCATGCGGAGCCCTCCCACCCCATCCCCCAGATAGAGGGAGATAACCAAAAAACCTACCAAACTACAAAATCCCTTATAATAGACTGAAACCCCAAAGTCGGCCTGATGGGTGGGTTTGTGTTTCAGGGGGCAAGAGAGCCCAGGTTCTGAAAAGAGTTTCTGTGTCTGGGCTATTCCCGTGGCCACAGGCACATGGGGTGAAATGCCCAAGCCTGGCCCCCCAGTGCCCCTGCACACACACGACACTCTCACGGATTCATGTGTGAGCTGCACCCCCAAGGTGTGGGGGTGCCGGCCGAGCCTCTGGGCTGGGAAGGCTGCCTGGGATTCGGAGGCTGGGGGCAGGGTTTGAGGTGGGGGCCCCTCGGAAGCACATTTGGAAAGACGGAGAGCCATGAGGAGGGGCCGAGAGCTGGGGTGAGGGGTGACTCGGGGCCCCCTTCCGTCCCCAGCAGTTTCTCTAAGATGAACAGTGCAATAGCTCCCCGTCCCTGGGCTGACACCGGCCCCCGAGAGCAGGCCACAAAGTGCAGGGAGGACGGGGAGGGGGGCAGCTCCAGTGAGGTGGCTCAGCAGGACCGGAGCCCCAGCATCCAGGGGCAGGTGTGAGTGGGGGCTCTCTCTTCCTTGCACGGACACATCCCCAAAGGAGGGACACTGGGGTGGCGTGAGGGTGGGAGGCCTGCCTGCCTCCTTTCCTCCTGGGCCCTCCCCAGCCCCCTCCCAGCTCCTTCCGCCCCGCCCCCACCTCCCTGGTCGCCTCCCTCCCCTGCCCCGCGCGGCTCCTGCCCCCCCCCCGCCCACCCACCCCCCCCCCCCCCCCCCCCGCAGCCCACCTTCCCTCTTGGCTACTGTAACTGTAAATAGCAACCTTTGGAAAACGTTAGCAGTGTAACAGTCCAGGAAACTGTTTTTTTTGTTGTCGTTGTATTGATATGAAATGAGATTCTATTTTTGTCAAAGTATATTGTAATAATAATGACTCAAGCGGCCCGTACTGTACAGATGAGACTCTTCTGCTGTTGTTCTTGCTCCCCGCCCCGCCCCTTTCTGCTGGGACCTCAGGCTGGACCCCAGATCAGACGGGAGGGGGCAGGCCCCCAGCCTGCCATCCAGAGGGGGCTGGCCCGAGTGGGCAGGTGGCGTGTGCAGGCGGACAGGGGGTCTGCCCCGGTCCTTCACCTGCACCCAGCTCCTCTACCCCAGGGGCGCACCGCTCCCTGGGGGTGTCACCCCAGTAGGACAGTAGACAGTAGACAAGGCCCAGCTTTGCGGTCCTGCCTCTGTGACCCAGCCGCTTGCAGTATTCCGACACTTGACGCAGGGAGGGAACCAGAAGCAGGGGCGTATGTGACCACACATGTACCTGAGCGTGTCCGTGAGGGCATCCGGTATCCGTGTGTGTATGGTGGCGTGGACGTACTGGTGTGTGTCTCTGAGCCCATCTGGGCCTATCCACAGATCTGTGTGAATCGAGCTCCAAGGGCATGTCCGTGTGTGCACGTGCCTGGTGTTTGCGGAGGGACAGTTGCCGCTGGGCTGCACAGCCCTGGCTCTCAGCTCCACGCCCCTCCCGCTTGGCCCCTGCCCCAGTCCCCCCTCCGCTTTGACAGGTTTGGACCACAGTTAGGGGAGGATCTGGCAGCTGCCCCCTTCGCCTCTCCCTGGGGCCCTGCTTCTCCTGGGCTCCACGCACAAGTGGCCACCCGGTCCCTGGTCCTTTGCACACACACGCAGCTGCCCTTCCTGCTCGTCCCCCACCCCAGTCCTGCTTTCAGGGTGACACTCATGATCCTCTTCCTTCTTGAAGCTTCTTCTTTGGGCCGTGATCCTTCCTTACTCAGAGTTCAAGCCCCACCTGCTGATTGGGCACACGGCATGTCCCAACCTACTCCGTGGGTTCCTAGAGGGAGTTTGAAGAGTCGACAAGACTTGATCAGGGCCTCAAAGTACACCAGGGTATAGGCTTGCGCATGCACGCGTCCCCAGAGCCTTGCCCGGTGTCTGGCACATAGTTGGTGCACAGTAAATGCCGAATGGGTGAGCGATAGGTGCTCAATAAAACTCAAGTGACTGGCTTTCCCTTCTCAGGCTGTTCCTGGCAGCAGTCCGCCCACCTTTGGAAGCTGGGCTTGGCCGCCACTAGACACACGGTGGGGACGAGAGCCCCTGCGGTTCACGGTGCAATATTCACCAGTTTTGCCCTCTGCCTTGTAATGGCAAACCTGGCTTTTGATTACCGTGTGTGTGTGTGTGTGTGTGTGTGTGTGTGTGTGTGTGTGTGTGTCTTTCCTCTCTCTCTCTGGGGCAGGGGGTGGGTCTGTGAATGAATATGTGACATTTCTGCAATTCAGTATCCCAAGGTTTCTCTTGGGGGTAGGGGCTCCTGGCTGGCCAGACGCATGGGTCCCTGGGAACCCAGACCTCAAGGGGGGGGGGGGGCTTCATTTCTTCCTCTCGCAAAGCCAAATTTGCCTCCACCTACTCCTTCCTCCGAAGAACTGGGCGTTTGCCAAAGTAATCACTGGAGTCATCCCGTGCCCCTCCCTCCCCCAGCCTTCCCACAGCTTCCAGGGACAGTGGGCAAGAGGACCCTCCCATTCCACTGGGACGCACCGTTCCTCCCCTCCCCAGCAGTGCCCTCAATGCAGCAAGACTGACCCCTGACCTTTACCCAGCCCTCCCCACCTTGGACAGGAAGGAATTAATGCACCTTCTCTTGATGATTATTTATTTGTTTGGAGAGACAGAAATGATGTAAAAGTGTATCTAGAAATATCTATATCTATATATTTTTAACTGACTCTTTGGAATCCCCTGGGGTGGGGTGGGGGTGAATTTAGGCTTTCGTAGAGGAGAGGAGACCTGGAGCCTGGGAACTCTTGTGCTCTCCTCTGCCACCTCTGTCCACCCCCTAAGCGATGGTGGAAGCCGTGGTGGGATTTGTGTGGGGGCAGGGGCTCGAATGTTCTATGGAGAATCTGGATTCTCTTTGTCTTCCCCATTCAAGTCCCAAAGGGAAGGGGGAGAGGGAGGGAGGCATGGAGCTGCCCCCCCCGAAACCCGACAATCACCCACACTCCTGGGGCTGCTCCTGGGTCCTGGGCAGGGCGAGTCCAAGTGTGTGGCTGTTGATTTGTTTTCAATATTTCTTTCCGTGCTGTATGGTGATGCTTTCTTAGTATTCTACACAATAAGAAGACAAAGTCCTCGGGATTCTTATGAGTTTTGTTTGAAAACTCTTTCACTATATTTGTTGTAAAGAGGTTTACTATTAAAAAGAATACACGTTTCTGATACTTGGGCTTGGGTTCTGGTTTCTTTGGCGCGGCCGGCGGCGGAGGAGAGGCCCGGGGTGGCCCGAGGGTCCGCTCAGCACGGTGGCGGGGCGGTGAGGGGTGCTCCCAGGTCTCAGGTGAGCGGTTCTTCCAGGTCCTGTCAGAAGCAGAGGCTGCCCCACACGGGCCGGGGTTGTCCTGGGGGAAGCCACACGGGGGGGGGCCCTGGGGCACGAGAGGCAGAGAAGCCGTGCCCTAGGCCAGGTCAGGAGCAGGGTCATGGGGGGCAGGGCTCCAGCCACCAGCAAGAACTCGCCGTGGATTCCACTGACGCGGGCTGCCCTCTTCCCCCTTCAAGGTGCTTTAACGGTGCCAGGGAGCCTCTCCCTGCTCTCCGAGGGCACCCCCCGAGGGCCCCCCAACCTGGTGCCGCCTTGCCGGAGGGGCAAACGCGGGGTGTGGCTCGGCCCCAGCAGCGTGTGCACAGGCTGGTGCTGCTGAAGCACAGAGGGACGTGGGGGCGTCTCCAAGTGCGGGAAGTTGCCCCATGGCGGGGTTGGCCAGTCCCAGTGCTGGCGCCCTGGCTTCCTATCTGTACAATGCAGTGATCTGTACCGGCCTCCCTCCCGGGGCTACCGCACCTCACTGCTCCCTCAGCTGCAGCCGAGAGAAAGGAGGCGCAGAAGGGCTTCCCCGTCCTCCAGATGCGCCTCCACCCTGGCTGCCCTGCGCTCACCCCTTGGAGACGGCGTCCGAGGACCCCAGCCTGGCCCTGGTGGGGTTCTCCCTCACACCGATGCGTGGTGGGCACGTGTGTCCAAGGAAGCCCGGCCGGCAGGGCGTTTCTGCGGTGGGGTCCCTCTCATCATTTTGGGGGACGCCAGGGGCCACGCTGTGGCACCCAAGCACCTCTGAGGAGAGGCCTAGAGGACAGAGCAGAGGCCTCCCATCCACAGCCTTCCACAGAGGTCCATGCTTCCCCAGACACGGCCAGGGCGCCCCCCACTGGCAGGACGCACCCGTGCCCGTGAGGCGCCCTGACACGACACCAAATCCCCAGCAGAACCCCCTCCCTTGTCCCTGGCGTCTCTGTCCCTGCTCCGTGTGCTGGGTGGGTGTTACTGTTGCCCACAGGTACTTCTGCCTCTTGCCTTTCCTGGACGTGCACACTGCTCCCCAGTCACCGTGTCGGCGTGCTGGGTCAGCGGACCGCTTCTGGCCAAGGCACTGTCATGGCAAGTCAGGCGCGTCCCTCCCGAGAGCAAACTGGTGCGTGGCTGTCCGAGTGCTGTCCCTGCTGTGTGAGCGGCCGAAGCCATCAGACGGCCCGGGTCACTAAGCCGCCTCCAGGTGTTACCACCGTGGACTTCGTGGGAACAGAAAATAAGCCCCAGAGATTCACAGAGATCTCCACAAAGATGGTGTCAGCAATAGAGCCTCTCCTCTCCAGACTGATGGAGGGCCCACCCACAGCCGCACCACCTCGAAGCCCCATTTACTGCAGTGCCCCTGCGGGGGGCGCCGAGATCTCTGCATGTGATGTAGTCCAGAACTGGTTGGCCCTCTGGTTCTACCCCTGCGCGGTTGTGCGGCCGGCTGTGGGCAGTCTCCCCAAGCTGCTGTAGGCCTCCCCTTCCCCCGTCCGTCCTCCCCACTGGGGGGCAGCTCTGCTCATCTGACGTGGCAGCGTCCAAACTCCCCGGCTTGGCTCCCAGGGCCTTCAAAGAGCCAACACAACCTCCTGTTCAGACTTCGTCTGTGTGTCCTGCGGCGCATCCCTTGGGCCCTAGACCAGCCAGTCAGCCCACTCCGCGTCCTGACAGATCATTCGGATCTCTGCGCCTGCTCTCTTTCCGTTCGAAAGGCAGCAAACGTGCATTAAGCATCTACTCTGTGGGAACCCTCTGTTAGGCCCTGGAAACAGAGAGAAGGCCAGGCAGCTCACAGCTTAGACAAGAGCCAAGTGAAGCAACAGCTGACCCTTGAGTCAGCGGTCTGCAGTAAATGTCACATAGGAAGGAGATGAGTGCACTGTGGGATCAGACTTGAGGCACACCCAAATCCAAGCTAGGCAATGCCAGGGGAGGCTTCTGGGTTTGAGAACAGTAGGTGTTCCTGGGCCAACATGGACAGGGAAGACATTCCTGCAGGCAGGAAGAGCATGTGGTGTGCTCAGGAGACCTCAGATTGTGCTGCAGGTCAAGGGAACAGTAGAGAAAGCAGAGGAGGGAAGCAGAAGCCTCACCGTGAAGGGCCTTACTGCCACGGTTTGGGCTTTATTCTGCAGATGTTTGGTCTTCAAATGGGTTTTAAGTAGAAGAGGGACTTGGTTAGATCTGCATTTCAGAAAACTCCTGTCAGCACAAGCTCCTTCCCACAGTGGTGCAGAGGGCCAGTGTGGGGACCGGTGGGGGGACGAGGAGGCAGTGGTGCGGAGGGCTGGGAGGACCAGCGGGAGGGCCGGTGGGGGGGACGTGGAGGCATGGTGTGGGAGGACCAGTCAGGATCCTTTACAAGTGAGGGGGTGAATTTAGCAAATATTACTAAATTTTATTTTATTTTTTAAAGATTCTTTATTTATTTGACAGAGAGACACAGCGAGAGAGGGAACACAAGCAGGGGGAGAGGGAGAGGGAGAAGCAGGCTTCCCGCGGAGCAGGGAGCCTGATGCGGGGCTCGATCCCAGGACCCTGGGACCATGACCCGAGCCGAAGGCAGATGCTTAATGGCTGAGCCACTCAGCCGCCCCGCAACTATTATTAAATTTTAAAGATTTTGTTTTTAAGTAATCTCTACAACCAACTTGGGGCTCAAACTCACACCCCACAATTCCGAGATCAAGAGTTGCACACTCCAGCGACTGAGCTAGCCAGGCACCACTTAGTAAAGATTAAAGAGGTAGAATTATAGGACTTGGAAGACGCCTGGTGAAGGCAGGGGAGGAAGGAAAGGAAGGAGGGTCAGCGGCTCCCACACTCATGCTTGGAATTCTGACTGGGCGGTGGTGCTGCAGCCCCCGGTCTGTCTGCAGCAGGGAGGTTTGGTTTCAGACTCAGCGGCACACGTGGAAGCCATTCACAGCATTGGTAGTTGGTCATCCTGCTCAGGCCTGCGGGTACATCACCCAGTGCATAGGGAGGTTTTTCTGAAGAGGGAAGTTATTCATGGTGTTGGTCACCCATGGAGTCGACCTCAGGACATGGGAACTCCAAGGACCATGAAGGGAGGCTGGGGGCCGGGCAAGGGGAGAGCCATGTGTAGGCCCCGAGCTGCACATGGGTATTGGTGCGTAGGTGAGATGAACCACAAATGTAGTTCCTGTGATCTCCTGCCTTTACCAAAGCCTTGCTTGACTCACTAGTCTTGTGCTAATCCTTTTTTTTTAAGTTTATTATTATTTTTTAATAATGTCTATACCCAACATGGGGCTCCAACTTACCACCCTGAGGTCAACAGTCGCACGCTCTTCTGACTCAGCCAGCCAGGTGCCCCTAGCCTTGTGCTAATCTTGAACAAGGGAACACTCGTCGGTGCATTCTTTGGGGGCATCAAGGGGCAGGGAGGGGGATACAGGTGCTTTGCTCCCCAGGAGTGGCTGCAGGGCTAGTCACGTGGTCAGAGGAATGGGAACCTAAGGAAGATCTGGTTCTAAAGGCCCAACTGTTCCTTCATAGGGACACCCAGTGCAACCTTAAGACTGCTGGCTTTCTTTTGATAAGGGAAGATGACACTTCTCAGTTAGGTACCTGAAGGATACTCCAGAGGAACAAAAACCATTCTTGATCCGTACTAAGTGCTCGGTAAGTGTTAGTCCTTATTTTTGTTATTGCTACTTGTCAAAGACGAGACTGGATGACTTACTCAAGTAAGGGGAGGTCTGTGGGCCCAAACAGCTCTACACCTACGAAACCTGTCCTACCATTCAAGATGCCCACTCCTACAACTTTCCCTCCATAAAGCTTTTCCTGACTTCCCTGCCTTCCCCCCTGGCTGAGCAGTGTTGGGAATATGACCGCTTTTTTAGAGTACCCACCTCATCCTACCCAAAGTGGAGGTACTGCTATTTTCTACGACTGGACTGAAAGCTCCTTTTTAAAAATGCACTGGGTGGCTCAGTTGGTTAAGCATCTGCCTTTGGCTCAGGTCATGATCCCAGGGTCCTGGGGTCAAGCCCCGCTTAGCGGGGAGTCTGCTTCTCCCTCTCCCTCTGCCTGCACTCCCCCTGCTTGTTCTCTCTCCCCACCCCCCAAATAAATGAATAAAAGTCTTTAAAAAAAATTAAAATGCACTGCCTCATCCATGTTTGTGTCTGGCTCAGTGCCTGGCACACACTATGTGTTCAGTCAGGCTAAACGAGAACGTGTGCTTTGTACACTGCAGAGTGCTACAAACCCTAAGGAATTTTTTTCCAGGGTGTGGTGACTTTCTGCAGCTTCTCCTCTACTCTGAAGCTCCTGAAGGAGCATCTGATCCAACAGGGCTGAGGAAAGGTGTGTGTTCGTTTCCTGGGCTTAGCTGTGGGTCCACTGAAGAAGTCGCACCCACTGGGCTCCTATCCCCAAAGAGGTGGCTCTTGGGAGGCAGGAAGCAGAGGGTGGTATCTGATTGTTGCAGCCAAGGAGGAGGCCAGGCCAGTTCGCTGTAGCTCATGTTCTTCTGACTCATTCCTCAGTCCCATGGGCTGAGTAACTTCTCCAGCCTTGTGATTGTGGAAACATTTCAGGAACCGCCAGCGGATGTGAAAAGGACACAGGCGACCCCACCCCAGGCTCCAAAGTGGCTCCTACTGGAGTGGGTACAGAGTGCTCATTTCTGTTCGCAGACTTCAATCAACCCTTCACAGCTAGTAAACCCGAGGGCCCAAAGGCACAGTTGGCTCTGGGCTTCTCTCCACTGCGCCTCCGGCAGTTCCTGGCTGGCAGGTGCAGGGCAAATCGGCCTGGGCGCCCCGCGATGATCGCTACGGGGCCGATCTGCATTTACCCTCATTCGCCGCACACTCGCTTTCACGTGCTTGCAGG